TTATACGATAAAAAACATGTATTCATAAGATTGGTTCATAAATAGATCCCAAAGTTTCCATTCATTACCATATCGAGTATTCAATCCAGAAGCTTCAGGTCATGAAGCTAACGCATAATAATTAAGTCATTGGGTCGTCGTCCAATGGGTCTGAATTTCTGGGTTTTGGCTCTTATAGTGCGGTCATCGACGCTCACAAATGAGTGGTCCCAAACCATACAGAATTAGCTATATCATGGTTTTTGATTTTTAAAGGTTACATAACTGAGATCAGTTCGTGATGAAAATATGAAGCTAAATAACCGCTATAAATCTATTCATTATTTCAAGTGTCCTTATTTACAAAAATACTTATATTAAATTGTCATATAAATGAAGAACTGATGTCCTACTGTATGCTTAAGAAAATTTCTTTCAATAAAGTTAATCCTTTAAGTTGTGACTTGAAGACTGATCTCATAGGGGAATTACTAATTCTGTCTTTGGTAAAGCTATACTTATAATGATGAACTTGGAAGGACGTTGTAGATGACCTTCAATTTTTGCGTCATTTCCCACCTAATAAATATACAATCTTTATGAATGTACAACATTTCGAAAGGAAAGTAATCAAACCAAAATTAACCCATAGATTTTACAAAAATTGTGAACGTTCCAAGGCCTCTGATCAGTTTTCGGTGTTATAATTGTAAAGGTTCAGCTACCGAAAATCACAATCCTGAATACAAATAAGTTCTTTTCATGCTCACCTATGAGTCAAAAACAGTTTTTATCAACGATTTTTACATTATCCTCCCAATGATTATCAACACTTTCGTCGAAATATTCCGTAAATAGATAGATAAAACTAATTCGAAGAATTTATCCTTTTAATCTTAATACATCACTGAAACAGATAATATTCAGTGAATTGCTAGAGTTGCTTGTTTGAGAGATTAATTTAGTCAGTGGAAGGAAAACTCATTGATTTATATATTGGATAAAAGCTTTATAGAAAAGATAAAGCATATACCGATTTGTGTTTTAACACAATGTCATTTCTGACCATTGGTGACAAAAATCAAGTATCCTCATTAATTGTAAGCATTTTAAACATTTTACCATAAAACCTTGATTGTGATAGATGATCACTGGGGTTATTTTTTTTAGTTACGTACAAAAAATCACAAAAGTCGTTGACCGGAATTTGTTTAGTTATCTATTATCGTGTTATTTTCTCAATGTGATTTGAAGTCTATAATAATAGGACGTTTATACAAGTTAGGGAGTAAATATTCGATTCATTTTGATTCCCCCTACTATCCTCTAGCTTTATTTAGTTTTACAATATCTGTTAATCAACATTATATTTCTGTGCAGCTGTTCTTCTAATGTAGACTATTATCGTTTACGTGTATAATATATGTACATTGTATTTTACATTCAATAAACAGAAAAGATAAAATTCATTTAGTATTAATTATAGAAGGGGTTTTGTGGAGATTTAGTATTTATCATTGTTGAAAGCGTGAGTCAATTGAAGCTAGTATTGTTTGTTTGAATCTTCCCATCGATTTGTTAGGACTGCAACTGGTCAGTCTCTAATTGGCATATGTGCATACTGTGCGTATTGCCTCGACATAGCCTTAATTCACAAGCATTGTAGGCAAAGATGGATAGTGGCTAGCAGTGGAATCCACTCGGTGGCCGAGTGGATAACGCGATGGAGTTTGAAGCGAAAGGTACTGGGTTCCAGTTCCTCCCAGAGTAAACATCAACTCTGAGATGCAGGTACATCCAGCTGACGAGTACCAAATAGGACGAAACGCTCTTCAAGCTGGATTCCACTGCTAGTCACTATCCATCTTTGCTTACCATGCTTGAAAAAAGATAAAAGTTTCTTTAAAATGGACTTTGGAAATCTTGTTATCTGGGTATATCTATTACTGATTAATTTAAACAAAACAGTTTAATGAAAAACAGTTAAACTTAGAGATATACTAGTCAGATAAATGTTCTGAACAACAGAATACGAATGTGTGTGTGTTGTTTTTTTGTGATGCTGTTACTGATAAATAGTTCAGAAAAAACAATTGAATATGATTAAAACGCTACTCAAAAAGTGACAAGAATGGGAAGGTGAAATAAAATGTGTTAAAGGAAAGATCAAGAGTTTAGTTTATAGTTAACAGTTATCAGGAGTCTGTGTACTATCTACGTTTTGTCAATGTTGATATTTTGATAGGCTCAATTCATTTATTTTAAATAACATATCACGAAATGTCTACACCAAGGGAGGCCTAGACAAATAGTACATATTTTAGTATTCCCTCTATTGAATATTTCAACTTTTTTCTCAGTCGGATGAGTGTCCGTAATTGTCCATGTGGACTCGTTTGGGCGAAAGCATTATAGGGTTTGACAAGTAGTCAGTGTCCATACATAGAGTGCGTCCACTTTGTCCATTGAACTGTTTCTCGTAGTTGGGTGGTTTGATTGAAATCATATGGTTGAGAATTCATCTACTATAAATCATGTTAGTAAAATTCTTCTTATTAGAAATTTATATCTTCCAATGATTGGAAGAAATAAAGTTATTTTTTGTTGATATCACGAACCAATCTACGTTAAACAACCATTGAAAATCTAGAAGCATCCAACCGCCGTTTCGTGCTAGTATGGGACTCCTCAACAGTGTGTATCTACAACCACACCATAAGGAATCCAATCCTGGAAATTGTTGTTACATGCCAACACAACCTTTAAACGACTAAACCATCCTACTCAGTCAATATAGGGTATTGCGCAACCATGAACCATAGTCTTTGGTAGGTAACTTCCACACTGTCGATCTAACCGGACTCTACTGGTCACAGCTTCTCACTAGGATCCACCGAAGACTATGGAAGACGGTAGTGTAATAATCTATAATGATGGAGTTGAGACACGTACACAATTGGGTGTTGTTTTGTAATGAACAGAACACGACTGGTTGGGGACAATAGAATGTATTTAAGCAAACATTACAGACTATCTCAGTAAATTCTGATAACCAAACAATGAACAGTCATTTTGCAAATTAACAACCAATTGTTTCAATCTTCACTGTTTCTTCTCTTATTCCATTGTTCATGCATTTTCCTACCGATTGCGCTTCATTTCAGTTCTTTCCTCATCGGTCTTCTGCCAAAATACATTCTATGTCTGACCCACACCATATACTACTTGTATGGATATAAGTAGACCACACCACAGTTTTAGTGGTCTAATGGTAAAATGTTGGTGTGTGAGAATAATTTCCAAGATCAGATTCCTTATGGTATGGTTATAGATACACACTGTTAGGGAGTCCCATACTAGCACGAAACGGCGGTTGGATGCTTCTAGGTTTTCAATGGTTGTTTAACATGGATTAGTTTATGATATCAATAAAATTTATCAATTTCCATAACTGTTTGCGGAATATTGTTTTTACTGACTTTCCTCTATTTAAGGCTAATAACCTCATTAAAGTAATGGTTAACCACAATTTTCAAAAATTTCAGCTCACATACAGTTAACCGACCAAAGTTCTCATTAAGTTTCTGTGAACATTATGATTTTGTGGGAAGAAGGAGGAGTTGTATTGAAGCTCCATCGTATTTTGTCCCAACTTCTCATTCCTTATCAGATAATTTGAATTCTATTTTGTGTGACATGTTTGTTCTATGAGACATTCTGTATGATTTTGGAACTTCTTCTGAACAACTTCAATGTTATCAACGTCAATCTCGTTGTCTGATTTAACTAAGATACTATTAGTATTATGTGGTGAAACATCAGTAAAATAATTCTATTTTCTTTATTTGCTCATTGGAAAATATCATTTACCCGATATCCAAATTCTTTCAAACTATAAAATATGAACTTTATTTGGACATTTATATGTTAAATGAATAAAACTCTTCAAGTGTCAATCTTTTCCACGCCATCAGTTACTCTATACACTAAGAATTAACTTCCTATAGATATAACTACATTAGGCCTCCATCATTTGTCCATTACTAGAATTCATAGGAAATTAAAGTGTCATTGGATATAATATTTCCTGTTGAATCGTTTATAACATTTTGTTTGCTTCCCTTAATTTCAATGGTAACCTTTCTCAACCATACTTTTAAACCTATCCCACTTTTTTTATATATAGTTGTAATCATGAGTCAATTGAAGCTAGACCACCATGGAAAACCTGAAATCATCGGACGGCCGTTTCGTCCAATTGTGGGACTCACTATTGTTCAGTTCACTCAATTCTTTATTAACGAAAGAACATTTCCTTCAGTTTGGCCACCAGTACTAATTTAGTGAATAAAACACCGGTTGGGGACCACCGAATGTATCAAGACTCAAATTACAGACTCTCACTAAATTCTGATAACCATAAAGTAAACCGATAATTTGCAAAATAACAACCAATTGTCTCAATCTTCTCTGTTCCTTCTGTAAATATCAGTCCATCTTCTCTAATTTCATTGTTCATGCATTTCCCTCCCAATTGCCTTTCATTTCAGTCTTTTCCTTATCGGTTTTCTATTAAAATACATTCTATGACTGACCCTCACCATATACTACTTATATGGATATAAGTAGACCACACTACACTAAGTGTAAAAGCAACACGAAGAGTTTATCAAATCTTTGATTGACCATTGTGCAATATGAAATGCATGAGTACTTATTTGACATTTCGAATTTTCCTTAAGAACTATTGACCAAGTACACTGGATTCAGTGGGCCATATTCAAATGTACTCTAATGGTTGAAAATTTTCATAATAACGACTTCCAAAATTCTTTGCTTAGGGTGATTCCATTTGAATTTTCATAAAGTACTGGAGTCACCGAGTATTGTTTTTTGCATCTCAACTACCAGTATGTGTATATTCTTAAGATGTTGACCAGATTATAATATTTAAACACAGATTTTGGTTATGTATTATCTCAAAAGTAGTCACTTTTCTGTTCATTTTATTTGTACTCCAGGGTATTTTGCTACTTATCAGCTCTTCTGTTTTGGCAGTTCTACTAATACTGTTTGTTGCTATCAAACGAATTCACCGTGTTCATTTAAAATCTAATCATTTTGAATCACAAACTCAAAATCTTCAAATGACACCATTTGATATCAATGCATTAAAACAACAAATGAATGAATATCAGGATGGAAGAAAGTCAGAAACTAGTGCTGAAAAATTAAGAAATTCAAGATCGAACGACTGCAACTCTCAAACGATGATAAATCATCATCAACAACATGAGAATGAACAAAAACACCAACCATTACGAATTACCCCGAATCCATTTGTCAATCAATCCGATATGAAAGAATACGAAGCAAAAACTATTTTGTTGGATGAAAAAGTATTTTATAATGTTATCTATCAATTAGTGGTTTTATCAAAACGTCCTCATAATTGAAACACATCATCATTCTTCTAAGCATAGTAGAACACAGTCAATGGTTGGTTACCGAATAACAACTATTGAGACCATATTATTAATCGAATCCTAGCATTCAAGTTTCAATATGAATTTTAGTTCAAATGAATTGAATTCTCGGGAACTACGTCTAGATTTCAGGTGGTCAGAGGTGTCTATCAGGATATCCTGAATCTAAGTTTCGTGCTGGGTGCAAACTAGATGAATACTAAATTCACTTAATGTTGTCTACTTGTATGTTCCCATTGCTATATAGGATTGCAATTGTTCAGTCTATTGTTGGCAGATGTGCATCCTGTGCGGACTGCCTCGATATTGCCTTAAGTCACAAACTTTATAAGCAAAGATGGATAGTGGCTAGCCATGGGATCCAGGGTGTGTGTTTATTTTTATTTCGGACTTGTCAGCTGGATGTACCTGCATCTCAGAGTTGATGTTCACTCTGGGACTCGAACTCAATGCAATTAAAGATTGTCATTTCCTTTTGTTAGCTGTTATATATGTAAATAATTAACTAACTGATTTGGAATTTTCAAACAAAAAGTAAAGGGTTTTAATTATTAACTATTCAGCTTCAAGATTAAAGTAGTTTTACAAATCTTCATAGCTTTCAATTTAGTTCAACTCAATTAATCATGCTGAAAATAATGCAGGAAGTTTTAATGACATCAAACTTGCTGTTGAACTTTTACCACAGGAATCAATTATATTATCTATAATCTCACTTTAATAAATAAAAGTATGAAGTGATTTCCAATAGATTCAATGACTGAGTTCTTCGTATTTGAATCACTGATGGCAGTGTGTACTCAATAGTATGTAAACATCTTGTTTTTACTCTAAAATTAAATGATCTTTCAAGCTGTATATTTGATTAGAACAGCACACACAAGTAAACAGTATTGTTTTCAGTGAATTCTTCATCAAGATTTACTCTAATACGAAGTGATACTTATATGAATTTACTAAGTCCACACAGTCAGTTTGCGGGTCAATGATAACAACGTAATAGATTACGTAACTCAATATAATAAGTAATAAGTATAGATTAATAGTTTCATGTCAGATGTACTCAGTGATTAGAATAAAAAATGACTGAATAAATGTCTCGAAACAGGAAGTTGATCAAAACCTGGAAAAGATCGACATTTGACAAATCATCGTTAATAATTATTATCTGGTCAAGGAGGATAAGTGGGAGGGGGTTGCGAATCTTTTTTCAATACACAGATAGGGGTTTTTGGTTCGAACCTCTATAACGACCATAAAGCCTTTGTAAGAAACGATAAAGGTAAAGTATAAGTTACTGTGAATCCCTTCGTTTTATTTATCAGCTGATGCGTGTCAAGATTTAATATTTTACACTATATTATTTAACGGCATTGTTTAAGTAACACATTTTATTCTGTATACTCTTTAATATTTCTTTATAGCGTTATGATGCCACTTTGAATATGTCATCATCAATATATAATAATAACAATAATGGTAATCTTAAAAGTAGATCACCAATTGTATGTAGTCCAACAATTCAATTCTATGAAAATCCATTAAGATCTGATGAAGAGGATGATGATGATTTTCAATGTTCATGCAATGAAAATGATCTTGATGATCTTGATGTAAATTCAAAAGAATTACAATTAAGAAAATGAATAGAATCTCAATTCATTCAAAGAAGAACTAATACAAGACAACAGTTCAATACAAACAAACAAACAAACAAAAATAACCCAGTTCGGATACCTGAATTTCCTTACATCACTCATTTATTTCTGATATTTCTAATCATTATTAGCTATACTTTATTCTATAGTAACGGCATTTAGTTTAGGCTAATCTTTCATTCATTCATATGTTTACTTATTATTCATTTCATTGTGATTAAGTTATTTATCAAATTTCTTTTAAAAATATTCTGGAATGTTCTTTGATCGGTGATCTTTTTTGTCGTAGAAATTCTCTTCCATCATTTGTTATTTGAACTTTATACTCCCTTCACTTGTATTATTCACTTACTACACTTTCTTTGCACTATTTTCAATGTTCAGTAATCATAGTCATATATGATCAATTTTAAAAAGTACACTTGGATGGCATTTACTTGTTATTTTGCTGGGAGGGGGGTCGATGTAATTTTTAATTAGTAATATTTATTTCAATCATAATTTCATTCATAAACTTAGTTACTCGAGTTACTTAGTATTTGTTTTACTATTCTATACATTTTCATCATATCATCAAATAGATATATATATACATATTGTTATATCTAGAGCTTTGATCCTTACTATACCGCGTACTACTAGATTACTTGAACGATCGAACCCACAACGTCACAAAAGAGAAGACAGAAGACAAAACAGTGTCAAAATGTGGTACAGAAATCTCATGTATTTATAGTTTTTGACTGAGAGTAAATCATTTCAGACAACCAATAGGCACATAGGGGGTTATTCGTATCCATCCAATGGGGAAGCTACACGTCGACATTCTAGAATATTCCCCTAGCAGTGATTGAATGGAATGTCTTCGCCTCTTTCTGGCCTTCTTGAGGCTACCTAGAGTTTACCAACGCGCCATTCTTACACATATATAGATATATGCATCAATTCGTATGTTATTCAGTTCATCATTTTTGCTAGTTATGACGCTTTGTGAGGAAATATTGTCACGAGTTTGTCCAAGTTGAATGTTTCTTCCAACATATTAACTGTGATTTGATTGTGCTTGGTATCTAAAAAGTTTGGCCTATCATGATGATAAATCTGTCAACTTAAAAAAAAGAAATTAGGTGAATTATAAATAATAGTGCAAAATAAATACAACTGGTCCGTACAACACTAGTCATCTAACTGATATTTGTCACGATTTTGATCAATGTTATTTAAGATGAGTAAGCAGTACCGTGTTTCTGTTATTTTTGGTGTTATTTCTCGAACTTAGATTCTTAGTATGTTGCGTGATACTTGAACACTCGATCACTAGAACCCTCCGAAGTCGCAAAATGAGAAGACTATTTAGTAGGAATGTTATTCCCAAAACAGTGTCAAATATAGTACAAAAAACTCATGTATTTATAGTTTTTTGGCTGAAAGTAAATCATCATTTCGGACAACCGATAGGTACATGGAGGGACCTCCCTATTCATCCAATAGGAGAGCTACACGTCGACATTCTAAAATGTTCCTCTAGCGGTGATGAAATGGAATGTCTTCGCCTCTTTCTGGGCTTCTTGAGTTTGTTAAAGAGCCATCATTACACCTCCTCTCTTTTGAAAGATCTGAAGTTGATATACGGATTTTAAATTTCCCTGCCTTACGGTCGCTTCCGTAGTGTCCTGACTTTTTTAGTGTATTGGACATCTAACCATCCATTGTATTTATTGTTTTATTTTTTCTTATGTATTCTATTCTCTTTTTTATCTCGCTCTTGTATGTTCGTTTATTTGTTTATTTTATATGTCAATACAACTTTGCTTTACCCTGTTGATCACGGAGAGGGAATATGAAAGGTTCGCGACACGAAGTTTTTTCTGCAAATCTCGTGCTCATTCTGTTGGTGGCTCATAGAATCTGTTGTCCCTGGCCCATCAGTTGTATTGACAAAACTTCCAATGATGATGGTCTCTATCAGGCCCGAAACTGACACAGGCACAGCTTATTTATCCTTCATACTGTGTCTTCATTCTGCAATTCCGGTTGTACCCTCATTGACTTTTCATCAACTTATTTCGTCTGTTTCGAATTCATTCCCTCTCGTAATTCCATTCTCGCTCATGTTGATGCCACAAATTATGTATTCTGTGTATTGGATATAGATTCAGTATAATTTAGGATGTACTCATCAATATTAGAATTAACAGTCGAAATTAGAATAGACTCACCTTATTCCTTGTAACGTATTCCGTTGCTGTGACTGGTTTGCATATGAATCACAAATTTATTGGCCTGTTTTAGCAGAACTTTCATAGATCTTGGAAAAGGAGTTCGTTTACCAAGATTTTATTTTGTTTAGGCAATTTCATCATTGTTTCTTTTCCTACGATCTAGTTACTTTGTACTGAGGAACTTTATATACTCTCTTCTTCGAGTCTTTTAACTTTACAGAAGTAGTAGAATTGAAATTTTCCGCCCGTGTTTCAGGATGTTTTGAATGTACATGAGAATGAGGGGGCTTTAGAGTGACACGTAATTTTCCAAACTTTGATTCTGCAGTTAAAAAGTTATCAAACACATCACTAAAACCATCTTCATTGGTCAGTAGGGAAAGTTGACCCTGAAGCATCCTTAAGTTTTCTAGATCTGATATAGATGGTCCACGCTTGGTGATGAGAAATTCACAATTTATAATCAAAGATTTGTCATTTCTGGTTACAACATCCAAGAATAGAAAGTTTTGACCAGTGATACTCGAAACGGAAACTTTAGTAGGCATAAATATAGCGTCAGGATTTGGGGATTTTAACTTCTCGATTGGACTTAATACTACAAGTGTCAACAGTAAAATGATGAAAAGTGCCACTAGACAGATATAATCATTTTTGAATATGAAGTAAATTATTGGAAGTTGCAAATAAGCATAATATATGGTCATTAGAATCATCGGAATTAATAGGATCTGAATGAAAAAGTTTAGTATTTCCTGAGGCGAAATGTACAGTAGTTTTACGAACAGATTGGATTTGTCCGAGGTGACCACATTTATAGCACTTACCATTGCGAAATACACGTGACTTACGTGCGTGAAACTTACCACAGGACAAATATTTACCAAACTTGTGCTCACCTTCGTTACCTGCTCTGCAATTCCTCGGTGAAATGTCTGCATGCCCTCTAGTAAGCATTGGACTGAGATAAACAAGTAATGTAGTGAAGATTTTTGTCCTAGAAGTTATGTTCATGCACTGCCTCATGATTAATACACGCAGTTCTAACATCTTCAAAAGAACACTTCGGCATTTGCACGACTTCTCTTTCCAGGTTAGGTATGTTAATCCGTTCAATCAATCGATTCCGCAGCTTCACGTGATATTGATCACCAAAATTGAATTCAACAACTTGTTTTTTGTAATTTTAGGATAAATTCTGATGGATCATTTTATCAAATATTGCTATTTCACGACATTTGAAACTAGTACACAACACATGATTTAATAGTAGTGTAGTGAACGAGAACAACGACGGGGACAACCTGACACATTACAAAATATCTTGGCGAAATCTGAGAACTATACAGTAATAATTCATCTGCAAAATATCCATCGATTTTCTCAGACTTTGTTGTTCCTTCGTTTCCATACCAATCACTCTCTGTTCTCGTCCTCTTCTAATCGCTTTTCTTAACCTTCTGCCGCCAGGCATTCCACTATTGACTGGTGATGCATGCTACTTATATCTGTGGACATCAGTAGCACGCCCCACAGTGGCTCTTTGTGAGTTGCGTATGGAAGTGAAATAGGCTTAAGTGACCCTGTATCTGACTCCAGTTGGATTATGTGCTGATTGTCATTGAAATATACACATCACCAATCCTTGTATATAATCATTGACTTAAATTGCTTTGGTAAATGACAGAACTAAAGTCAAATGCGAAAATAGGTTTTGAATTTGTATATTTCATGCACTCATTGATTTGAACAGACATCAGGAGCAACAAAACGAACAGTGAAGAGCGAAGCAGATCTTAGAAAACATATTAGCCAACCCAATCTAATCAGGTGTTACTCAATATTTACAGTCAGGCTAGAAGTAAGTTACAGACATATAATAAATAGGATATACAATCAACTCACATACGATGATGTAAAAATGGTCAAAGTTAATAAGCTGATAAGTGACAAGGTCAAATTGTGGTCTGACGATGAATCGATTGATCTGTCCAAAAGTCAAAGTGTCACGTTATCTGTGTTCACAAAACCGGAGTGAGAAGTCAAAGGTCATGTCTTTTTGACGACAATTTTACAGGCAACAGTGGTAATTGCACAAGTTGTATCAATTGATGAAAAATGCAGATAGTGACAAAAACTAATTACAAAATAAGTCCACTTTAACTATCCCCCGCAGGGCTAATCTAGGATTATTAAAGTTTTAATAAGCTGTGGCCATTCTTTCCGATGAATACGAGGAAATAAGCCACAATTTTATCATCCTGCACATCTTTCCAGGCCATGTTTGAGATTTTAAACCTTTCCATTTAGTCTTTGAAAGCTCCAGAATTTGAATGTATATTGAACTGTTCCATCAGAGGCACCGTCACGAAATCGATATGATATTTGGAAGTATTTGAATCATTGTATTAACTAGGAATGCCCCAAAACAGTGTGGATATTGTGACAGGTGTTATATGTGTTATATATTCCTCTATCCTGACTGTTATTGATTGACTGTTCCTTGTTGTTGGATTGTGTCGGATTTTAGTGTGGAAAAATATTGACATTCTAGTCGGGCTAATCTCGTGTTCTTGATCTGAGTTGTGTCGAAGTCCTGTAGAATAGACACTTGGTAGGAATCTAGTGTAGATATTCGTCTAAGGTGAATTGACGTTCCACATACGTGTAAAAAGTGAAAGGACTGTTATAACAAGAAACCTATCGTTATAACAAGTATCCTACCGTTTATAACAATTGGCGACGGTGGTCAAAACGGATCTACGCTTATATATTCAGTGAAAGTGAATTTTGTAACAACAAAATGGATGATTTGAAAAAGTTATTGCAATATCAAAATTCTCTTTTTGAATTTTAAGTCAAAAATATGTCAATATCCTCAAGAACATATGTGTCTAATTCCACTACGACTCCGGATTCTATTGCAAATTCTATAACTGAATTTAGATCTGATCCAGAAAGTGGAGTTACTTTTGAGGCGTGGTTTAGATGCCATGAGGATTTGTTTAATAACGACTGTAAAGAGTCGGACAGAAGTTCAAAACTAAGATTATTATTAAGAAAGCTCGGAGTGTCCGAACATGAAAAATTTTGTAATTTTATCCTCCCAAAGAAGCCAACTGACATAACCTTAAAATAAACAGTTGAGTGCCCGACACGTATATTCGGGGGACGGTCATCAATTTTTCACACTAGATACGAGTGTCTTCAACTTGCAAAGTGTGAGGATATTCACAGAAATATCCCAAAATTATTTTGAAAGTAAAGTCGTATGTTTTCAGACTCGTCACATATCTCGCATGTTATTTTCTATTGGTCATTATTTACAGTTGTCCTAACTATGACTTTCACGTGTCGTTTCCCTATTGGTCAATTTTGAGTT